TTCCCTCGTTCCCCGTAAATGGGGGAAACCTCCAAAAAAATTACAAATTTAAAAATCGCTAATTTTCGAAATTTTTTCAATTTTTTTTACTAAAAACTGCCGTAACTTTTTCAAAAATGAACATATGAATATAATTTTTTTTTTATAGATGCTTGATATCTTTATCTATCAGTTGCTATATTTTTTTTGTAAATTTGACCTTTTTTCTGCCCACAGGGGGGGATTTAAAATGACAACTTTTTCACAACAAATTTACTTTTTCAACATAACATTTGAAAATGTTCCGGAAGGTCTGACACTTTTATATATATTTTAAATTAAAGCTAATGTAATATACTTTAATGTGAAAAAAAAAAATTTGACCTCTGGACTTGTCTTCACGGCGAAAATGGCTACCGAATGCTATTTTCGTGTGAAAATTCTCGATTTTATTATTTATATTATATTTAACTTTATAATGCTATAACTTATTGAAAAGTTTATGGATCCACACAATTTTTTTATGAGAAATAATATTTTTTAATAAACCCTTTTTCATTCGACATACTTTATCTTAATCGAGATATTAATAAGGAACCAGCAGATCAAGTAGCTTTTGGAATAAAACACCAATTTTTTTTAAATTAAACACTATCTAAAGATTTGCATCGAAGCGTTTATTTTTGATAGTGATTTTAATCACTGTCAGATATCATTATACTTGATCCAACTATGCCACATCACCACTGTGCCGCGACCCCCCTGTGCTGGGTTTTTTTCCTTGAAATAACAAAAAAATAACAAATTTGATTGAATTTAGTAATTTTGTAATTCAATATCATAATGTTTAATTATTAAAAAGTAAGCTGCATAGGTATAATTTTTTTTTCTTGAAGTAATTTGTTTTATTAAATAAGATAATTATATAAAAAAAATATTAGATTCATTATTTAAACTTTATAAAACAAGTTATGTTTATTTCAAAATAAGTATAAATTGTGTTCTTTTAGAGTGACGTTAGACTTTTAGCTCAAATAAAATTGTTTTAGTTTTAATTCCGTGTCAAAAATTGTGTGCAAAAATTAAACTATATAATTTCGCAATACTAATTAATCAACATACAATATTTCCAATAAAAAAAAATTCAAGTCTTGTAAAATTTTTTTTATAAATTTGAAATAGTATTCTTATAAAGTGAAATATAACACTGTAGTATGTGTAGAATAGTTAAGCAGTTTATTTATTATGTTTATGGTTTTTAAACAGTGTCCCGACTGCTCCTGGTGTTTTCATTAATTTCCGTTTAACATTATGTGCTCTAATACTGACCGTGATGTTTGTTATATTATTTGATTTTGTTTAAATATTTTATTTTTGTTGTCATCTTTTCTTTGTAGACATTGTTATTGATACATTCGTATTTTTGTTCATGTTTAGCTTCATTTTCTTTTTAAATTCTTAATTAAAATTAATGTGATTAATAATCTTAACTGTAATATTTATTTTTATTGCGCTAATAGCTTAAGTACTTGCGTGTATTTTATTCCTGTCCCCTAATCTAAACACAAGCTACGGTATGTTTTAAATATCAACCATTTACAACTTCAATTTTCATAGTTTTGGTTAATAAACAACGAGTTGTATTAATCATTAATGTTTAACGACATATTAACTTAAAATTAAATTTCACCTATGGTCCGGTCATATCTATCTGATGAGTGTGACAGTTCGTCTAGGTGGTGGAGACCCTATCATAGCTAGTCGTTATGCAAGCGGCAAATCACGTTGTTGTGTCAGGCCTTTTTTTTTTTTTTTTCCCACGACCGGCATTATTGTGGGCCGCCCTGGAACTGCCGTGAGGCATTACTTCAGGGCGGCCCATGCCGTCTTAATAATTCACACCACCACGTTGTGAATCAGCCCAAAATTAATCAAGAGCTAATTCGCAACGTGGTGTGGCCCCCTCCCGTTAACTGGATCCCGCAGTGGGAACCGTTAGGGAGGGTTGGCAAAATAACTCACAAACAAAGACACAAAAAATAAGAACAAGAACCTAAGGCACCGGCCTAAACCAGCGCCTCAGGTTCTCCTGTGCCGGGCGGCGTGGCTGCCTCTGTCTCAGGCGTTCCGCTTCCTCCTTCTTTAATAAGACGGATTCGGCGAACGCCTGGACGAGCCTCCACGCCTCCCGACTCCTCAACATCAGGTCCACCATGGACCCGACTCGGAACGTGGACCCTAGTCGAGACTCCAAAGAGGCCCACGCCTCGCAACGAAAGAGGGTGTGCAGAGCGCTATCAGCTTCTCCCGGGCGATCCAAACAGTGGTCGCATGTCGGCGCGGCTGCTTTACGAATACGGTGTAAGTACTCATTAAAGCAGCCGTGGCCGGACATCACTTGGGTGAGACGATAAGTCATCTCATCGTGAGTCCGGTCCACCCACCTGTCCAGCCGATCGGGTCCTATGAGGGACCTGGTACACTCGCCTCTCGTCGTTTCCTCCGAGAGGCGAGTCCGCCACCGGAGCATGGTCATCCGCCTGAGCGCTAGCCGGTCCTCGGGTTCAAGGCACCGGTTGCGTTCTCGGCGGAGCTCATGCACAGCGGCGCGTTCCTCGGCGAGCAGGTTGGCGGGCGGCAGTGACGACAGGATACCCGCCGCCACTCCGGACACCGTTCGGTACGCCGAAACTGTCCGGATCGCCGCCCGCCTCTGCATCCTGAGCAGGGCTTCACGGTTTTTGGACGAATACTCAAGAGTATCCGCCCAAACCGGCGACACGTACAGGAGGACCGAGTGATCAATGCTGAGTGATCATGCCCAGATTGGGCATGAGTCCCGCCAGGCAATTCATGACTTTCTGGGCCCGCTGGGCCGCACATTACTCGTGCGGCCCGAACTTTAGACGTTTGTCTATGACAAGGCCCAGATAAGTCATGGAGTTCTTAATGTGTGTCAGGCCGACAAAAGTCCTTTTTCAAAATTAAGTAAATTTATGTGTTTCATATATTTTAGAGACAAAATAATCCTATATCTAAAATATGGTAAAAATTATAAATTGCATTCCTGTATCCAAAGAAGTAGATAGATTATACTCCGAGTATGGAATGAATAAAGATCAAGTTAAAGCAGATGTTGCTAATATAAGAAAATGGATGTTAACCCAACCTCATCTTCCTATTTTTCCAGAAGAAAAAAGTGGTAAAACTGTTGTACATAATGTAATAAAATATTTGAAAAATGAATTTTTGTTTTTTTTTTCAGAAGAGCTAAATTATCAAATTGAAGGCTATCTTCGACTTACAAAAAATAATATCGAAAAATCAAAAATTGCGTTAGATTCTTATTTTTGCTTGAAAACATTATATCCTAAAATTTTTGAAATAAGTAATCTGTACGATTATGTTGATAGTGATATATTTGAATGTGTGTAAGTTTAATTATTTATACAGAGTGATCGTTTTATCATAAACCACTCAATTACTCGCAAAATAAATACATTATTGTTAAAATATTGTTGGTATTTTAGTTATATATATTTCTTAATTTATGAGATATTAATTATATTTAATATCATCTCTTATAACTTATAGAGTGTCAATTTTATATTTTCAAATAGTAACATACATTTTCAATTCGCTAATATAACAGATAATGATCTATTTAATAATAATTTGATAATTTTAATGGAAGTTATTAACAATTAATAGTGATGACTGGAGATGAGACATAAGTATTCTTATTTTTATCACTAGTAATATCCCATCCGTAGTGTTCATCCTAAATAGGTTTAAAAATATTAATAGTTTTGCGAAATACTTGTCTTAAAGTTGTTTTCGATCATTCATCTTCTTAATTAATTCCATTTTATATTTTATTAACTAGCTAGTTATGTATATTGTCATTTGAAAAAATAAAATCAACACTTCTTAAGTCATATGGGATGATCCTAAAAAGTATTTAATAGCTCATAAATCAAGAAATATAAGTAACAAAAAAAACAAAAATTTTTTTTTGTCAATATTGTATTTTATATGCGAGTAATTTAGTGGTTTATGATAACCCGATCACTTTGTATAACAAGAAGAAATTAAATGATTATTTTATAATTTTATAATACAAGGTCAATGTTAATGTTACCAAAACATACACCTGATGGTTTGAGAGTAATGTATTATGGATTTAATAACTGTAATAGCCATTTGTTTCAACCAGTTGAAATATATCGAAGAATTCGTATAATGATTGATGTATTGTTAATAAAAGGAATAGATTTTACTGGATTACATGTAATTTGGGATGCACGATATACTTATATATCACAAATAAGACGGCTTGACTTATACCAACTTAAAAGTCTCATAAAACTGTCCCAGGTTTGTTATTTTGAAGTAAATATTTTAAAGTTCTTATAACTCTTTTTTATACTTCATTACTGCAGTTTTTATAATGTTTTATTTAGATACTTCATAGAAAAATTATATTTTAGTTATTTATTCTGATAGTAAGATAGTTTTATGCGTAAGTTTATTGAAAACTAATCTAAAAAAAAAAAGCATAATGAATGTTAGTCTCTATATATATAATATATTTATATATCACAAATTATGTGATCATAATTATATTATAGATATTATGAGACCTAAAACTTATATTATTAAATAAAAAGATTAATTGACTGTTCATTATTGTAATGCAAGGAATACCTGATAATGAGAATGCGGTGATTAGTGGAGATATGAATAGACATGTAGATAATGAGAGGAGAGAATATGAAAGAGTACATGAAGGATATGGTTTTAGTGGGAAGAATGAGGTTGGAGAAAGAATCCTGGATTTTGCAGTATCGTATTATCTTGCTGAGGTTAATACTTATTTTAGAAAGAGGGAAGAACATAATATAACTTATAAGTGTGGGAGGAATAGATCACAGATTGATTATTTTATGTGGATGAAAGAGAGCGTAAAGCGAGTAAAAGATTGTAAAGTTATAACAGGCCGGAGTGTAACTACACAACATAGACTGATGGTAATAGAGTTGTGGTGTACCGAAAAGAAAATATACAAAAATAGAAGGAACACGGGGGAAAAATCAAAGATCCGGTGGTGGAAATTGAAAGGGGAAAATTAAAAAGAGTTTGTAAAGACGGCAAAAGAGGACGGTGTGGAAGTCGAGGGAGACATAAATGATGTGTGGAATACATTTGCTAGTTGTGTAGGAGTAAAATGCCAGGAAACAAGGAAACCTGGTGGTTGGATGAGGACGTTCAAAAAATCATAGGAAGTGAGAAAGAGCAATTCATAGTATGGCAGAAGAGCAAAAGGAGAGAAGATTGGATAGAGTATAAACGCATGTGCAAAGAAGCCAATTGTGCAGTAAGTAAAGCGAAGTTTAAGGGGTATGATGAGTTAATAATAGTATAAGAACAGCTTGATATAGTATTAAATTAGACATATTAAGACCATTTTTTTCCTAAAGGTGAGTTCTTTTTGGACAATGTTTTCTTACATGGAATCTGCGTCCGTATAAATAATTATTTATCGAATACGTGATAGTAAACAAATCGTAGGGATGTTTTTTATTTTTAAGTTTATATTTTATTTAAAAAAATATATATAAAAAAAGGAAACTTATTGTCTCTCGTATTGTCAATAAAAATGTCAATTAAATAAGTGTAAATTAAAAATTATACAACCGTTTTGAAATACAGCAAGAAATTGTAATTTTTAAAACTGGACAGATTATTAAGTAATTTATTTTGACAATATTTTAGACATTTACCTTACTGACGACATACATTTTTTGGAAACTTTTTTTCCTTTCAATGTTTGATAATATTCCAAAAAAAATTATATCTTTAAACCTACGTCAAGCTAATACAGTTTACTTCAAGACGAATAAAGAAAAACTATCCAAAATTTTATTTATGAGATATTTAAAATTAATACTATTTTCGGTAAAAATTGTCAATTTTTAAAATTTTTCCGTAGTAACAGAATAATCACATCATTCTAAATTATTTCAAATTGAAGTTTGACTTTAAGACGAATTGACTATTCATTACTGTAGAGGGCAGATTTTTTTACCGTGAACTACTTAATTATTCAAAAAATAAAGTTTAAATTTTTTTATATATCATGTTTATTAATTATAATCATGAATTATTCATTAAGTTCATTCCATATACCTTATAAGGGACGCAACTTATTTTTTTAAAATAAGTACTTATCGATTTAAGTAGCTTATTTATTAGGTTATAATCTAAAAAAAAAATGAAAATGACACGTTGATAACATTTTGTGAACCGTTATTTCAAAATTTATTAACATTTTATAAATGTTTAAAATATCTTTATGTGCTATAATAAAACTAACTTAATAAAATTTATAGTATAAAATTCTTGGATTTAAACATTTTAGAATTTTGTAACACATTATTAATAAAAATTTTATAATTAAAATACGAATTTATTTAAGCAATATGTGAGCATTACTGAGTTAATGTAACAACAAAATAAAATTACAATGAAATAATATTTAAATTATTGATGCAGAAAGCATATCCTTTGCGTATGAAAAAAAACTATGTGTTGTTCCCTCCAGTTTTCTTGGATGTGACAATGAAATTTATAAAACCATTCTTATCAAAAACAATTACGGAAGGGTATTATTTTTTTATTTACATAACAAAATTTTTTATTTTAATAAATTAAGGGCTATTTTTTAATTAGATGGTAATTACTAAAAATATTGAAACTCTGTGGAGCCATATACCTAAAGATATTTTGCCAATCGAATTAGGCGGAAATGAATATACTCTGAATGATATAAGAGGTAAAGTATAATAGTTTAATAATTATACTGATTAAATTAAAGTTATTTATTATAATAATTATTCAGTTAGTTATTTATTAAATTTTTAATAGGTAAAATTTATACCTAATAGAACTACAAACATTTTTGAAAATTTTTCATATATATTTATGGATTTTATAAAAAAAATTTCTACCAAGTGTTACTCTTACCGAGATTTATCAAACTCGATAAAATGAGCTGAAATTGCTCGTAAGTTAGATTCTATACGTATATTTAAAACGCACATAGCAGATGTATAAAAAATTCAAAATACGCATTTTTTGTTTATTTCATCAATTTAATGAATAAAATATGCCGAAAAAATCTTCAGTATTATTTTAAATTAGTATTTTGTACGTTAAACTGTTGCACAAAATAAGCTAAAAAAACATTTTTTGAAAATCTGTACTTCTAAAAATTATGTATAAAAAAAAAAGTATGATAGTAGGTCAAACATAAAAACAATTAAACATAGATTTATTTAACGTACATGAAGGANTATGATAGTAGGTCAAACATAAAAACAATTAAACATAGATTTATTTAACTTTTAGGTGAATGGAAAGATTATATATTACAAAATAGAGAATGGTTCATCTCCAATGCAAACTATAAATCAGACGAAGCTAAAAGAATGAGAAAAGAAAAAAAAATTGAGTTATAAAATTTCAATAAATTCAAATTGGACTATATAAAATTATTTATTACCATAAAATTATTTTTATGGTAAAATAAAAATAAATATTTTTTTTGTACATAAGTTATAATAGTTTTAATATGATTATAATTAAATAATTTTTTATAGTTAAATATATAACATATGTTTTTAAAATGAATATTTCAGAAAAAACAGTTTTAATAAATCATAACAAATAAGAACATATTTTATAAGAATAAATTATCATTATTGACTTTTTATTTATAACATTATGGAATATGCATTTTTCAACAAGCAAAATATGAAAGTCATAATTATAGCAACAACAATTTTTTTTTTATTAGTTAGGATTTTTAGTTAGTTATTAACAGAAAATGTTATTAAATTAGGTATGAAACGCAACAAGCATAAAACTATAACATCATGACTGTATAGTAAATATTTTAAATAATTATTTATAACATGTAAAATAAAAAAAAAAATAATAATTTAACTATTAATAAATTGAGTTATTGGACTAGTGGTCGATGTTTTACACATTGTCTCTGACAAAACTAGTTATATAAAAAAAAAGAAAATAGAAGAAAAAAATATGTATAACAAAAGTTTCAATAACAATAATACATAATATACTTTATACATTATAGGATTGTTTTCGATTATATTTTTGTATTCACTAAGTTTGCTACTAAAATAAGTAGTTGAGCTTTGTAATGTTATGTTGTTTCATAAAATATTTTGTAATTTTCTTTTTGCGATCTTTGAGTAAATCACGTCAATTGGTTTAGTTTTATCATATAACATTGGTGCTTGGAAGACAATTAGTGCGGTACCAAGTAGACACGCCAATGTGAAAATCCACAAGAAAAGTCGATCGAGTACCATTGCCACGTACTGCCAGTCTTCGATAATCTAAAGATATATTTCAAATTAACAACAATTTTTATCATTTATTAAAGATCAACTATAGTAATTTACTCTTATAACTGTTAAAAAAGAATTCTTCTATTATATGTTTTAATTATAAGCTCTATTTTATTTTATCAAAAATTTTTCATCACCAAAGTGGCTCAATTTTTTTATATATATATATATATATATACACTAGGTCAATTGTAACAAACAATGAGATCAACATAAACCCGTTTTCTTACTTACTGAACACACTAAATATATATATTACGTAAATATTAAAATCATTTAATATTAATTTAATTATAATACTATATTTCATTTATTTAAAAATTGCCTATATCTGATTTTTCTGTTACCTCATCGAATTTGTCTTGATTTCTAACATGTTGAGCAATAAATTTAGCATCCTGGATTGTCTGCATGGCTGAATCTTGTCTGGAACGATGATCAACCGGACATCGAGGATGATGATGATGATGATGAGACTCGAACGTTAGACTGGTTAGTCTATCTTCTGTTGTAGTTGTGGGGCTAAACATATCATCATATTCTTCATCAGCGTCGATTTCAATAGCATCATCGTCTTCTTCTTCAACTCCACCGTCTTCTTCGTCTTCATCGTCAGAAGCCATGTTAACAACAGTGTCGTTCGATCCAGTTGTATCATTTGCTACACCGCTGCTATATCTAGAAACTGGTAATGGTGGTGGAACTCCATAATCGAAACTATAATCTCGATCATAACCTAAGTACTTGTCTATTTCTGAAGGTACATCAAAAACACTAGACAGTATTCCATTAGGTTTGTCATTGTCGTCTTCGTCAATTGAGTCTTCTTTCTTTGGTCGGCTGATAAATAGAACTTTAGGAAGTATTACTATAAACATCTTTACAACCCACGGTTTCATTTTGTGTGTAACAGGCGATCTAATAAAAAGTTTAAATATTTAATTCAGAAGCTATTTAAAAAAAAACTAATAAGCCATTTTTATAATTTTTTGGGGAATGAAAATATAGCTTAAAAAATGCAATTGTGAAAATAAAATATGGAAATAATGTAAATCAACACTTTTGAAATGCAAAAACCATTTTTTTAAAAATAATAATTGTAAAACTGAATGGTTTTATTCTGATCANACCGTTACAAAAACAGACAATGTGACCAGTACCATGGTGAACAGTAAATATTTACCCAAAAGTGGCACAGTGAGTGATGTGGGTGGTATAATTTCAACTAATAGGAGAAAGAACACAGTCAGTGATAGTAGAATAGATATACATAGCGATACCTTCTCTCCTGATTCAGATGGTAAGTAAAACACTAGTACAGATAAAAATGAAATACCAACGCAAGGTATAATCAAGTTGACTGTATAAAATAATGTTTTTCGCCTTAGCGTGATGTTGAAATAGATATCTAAATAAGGTTCTTCACAACAGGAATAATACTTCTCATGACGAACAGCTGGTACTCCCATGATATCCCATTCTACTGATAAATAATAATCCTGCAGATCAATACCCATTTCAATTTCATCTGAATCTGGAGCTTGCGATATGTGTCTTAAATCCATCTAAAAAAAATTTAAAAAGTGAATATATTTTGGAATTTTTTAATACAGAAAAAAAAGGTAATTAAAATATTTGTGAGCAAGATTGTTTAATACTAAATAGCTGTATTGTGAAAAAAACTTAAAGGCAAATATTACATTAATACAGTGAGGTATCTAAACTAGAAAAACAAATGGAATACTTTCAACGTGTGGTTACTTCGTGATGAATTTTCCATTAACCTGATAATTTACCTTTGAACCGACCGAAAAAAGCTCTATCCCAAGCCACACGTAGAATCGGAAACGTTACACTAGATAACTTTTTCTCACCATATATCCGTCATAAGTCCACGATCCAAACTTCATTGAGCAAGTTTGTTCATCAAATGGAAAATATTCGACATCAATTTCACAAAAAGATTTATAAATCGCAGGTGGTTTCCATTGAACTTTACCAGTATAATGAAGTATCGCCTTGGTCATTATGGTTACTTCATAACTGCCATCAGCGCTAGATAAGTTAAAAAAATGTAATGGAACAGTTAAACGACTGTTATGATTAGAGCACGGAACACTATGAATTCATTATTTTTGTTTAAAATTTAGAGAATTAAGAATTTGTGCAATATTGTTCAGGTAAAGCAAAAACAAATTTATCATAAAGGAAAATAGGCCCCTCTACGACCCTACAACTATATACACTGTTATAACTTTTTGGTTAAGTCTCAATTAAATTAGTCAACATTTGAACTGACTGGTTATATATTCAGAATAACTATACAAAATTTATAGTACATATGATACTGTACTCTAATTACGATAAAGATTTTACACATTGTTTATTTTGTGATAGAAATATAAAATTATGGTCTAATTACTAGTATTAAACTGATTTACAAGGAATTGTTGTCAGAGTTGAATATATACTCTTCTAATTCAATTTACCTCGCTGAATCCAAATCTACAATTAAATTTTTCTATATATTAGTTTTTGAGATTATTACTAATAAGTAAAAAATGAGCAATTACACATAAAATATTAAATGAACATACATTATTAATGAAATATAATACATATGAATGCATAACTAATAAAAAATTTGATTTCAAACATTTTTATAAATAACAGTTCAATGGTAATAATTAGGAAATTTTCTTAGTATTTTTAAACACAATATTTTATATTAATCTCAAACATTTAAATTCAGTCAAACTTATCAATTATGAAATAGTAAACTGATTCCTTTTATTACTAAGATTTATTCTTAATACTTTTTGAATATAATATTTAACATGTGCTTAATTTTAAATCTTAAAATTATCAATCTGACATTATGACATTATTAAACATACGATTTAAAACATTTTTTACATTTACAATGTTAATGTTACAATGTTTTTAATTTTTGCACATTTTTTAAGTTTAATATTGTATATTTTTTATAAATAACAATATTTTACGTTTTTTGATGTAATATACTTGTTAATTTACTTTTTTTTCTTCTGTTTTAACGTTTTATAATAACCCATGATTTTTATAATTTTAATAGAAATCTTGGTAGTAATTGCTATTTAAATCTCGGTATTAAAAAATTAACTGTAGAGAACCAAAAAAAAGAGGTTAAACATAATATTTTGAATCAAAATTTCGCGCGGATTATCGATAACATACTAAACATTAAAATTAGGAATAATTTGTAACACATTTTTTTTTTTAAATAAATTTTTTTTATGTGTAATTACTAGTTTTTTATTTAATGGTAGTGACCTCAAAAACTAGAAATAATAGAATAAATCTAATAGTAGATTTGGATTCAGCGCAAAAAATTGGATTAGAAAAGTATATTTTTGTTTCTGTCAAATTTAAAAATTGTCAATTTATAGACAAGTATTATTAAACGGTTTAGAAGAAAAAAAATATTAATTTATTTCAACATACTTATTGTATAAAACAATATCAGGCAACCAAATATGTTCTGAAGGAACATATAATGTATCTACTCCGCCGTAATCTTCTGGATTCCATTTTAACTTGTAATCATTCCATTCCTAAAAAAATGTATCAATCCATAAAAGGAAAAAAAAATTAAATGACTTCTTACTTGCTCAACCCATACGTTTGTTGTCATTATTTGATTCCTTAAATTCTGTAATAGAATAATGTGTTAAACATTAATTAGTTACTATTTTAAATATATGAATTTAATCAAATTTTGTACTAATTCATTTTTTTAAATATACAAATATCTGCAATTATCAGTAAAATAATACTTTTACATTATATTTTAGCTCAATGTAATTATTTTGTGTTTTAAAATAAAGAAAATTATTGTAAGGGGTGTGTTAATTATTTAATTGATAGAAATTGGAAGCTTGTATTGTGGATTCTTAAACAATGTAAATTAAAATGGCACCTACATTAACTATCTATAATTAATATTAATCGTTTATAGCTCTTATATAAATAAAATAAAATTAAACAATGGTTTTAAAATTGATCCAATATATTTGATTGTTAAAAAACAACAACAAAAACAAAAAACCATTGCAGTGTTTTATTGAAATTTTGATTTTTATTCATAAATAATAAATTTATACTTTTATGTAAGTTTGCTCACCTACTATAAGTATTACTTTAATGTGTTAAGTTTTTAATGTTATTAGTAATTAAATATTATTTTAATAAAATATGTATAAGAAAATATTCGATAAAATGTGAGTGGAGATATAATTTCATTGATATCAATTTAAATATGAATTCTATGTTTAAATGATTTTATAGAAAATATATTTTTGATATTATTTCATGAATTATTTAAAAACAAATATCTAAAATGTATTATTCATGTTAAGTTTATAATATGTTGAAATTTAATAAGAAATTATTAAAAATTTTTATATTCGTGAATAGATAATTTAACAAATTTTGTATACACAATAAAATGTAAATGTAAATATATTTTAATTTTACTTACGACTTCAATTAATTGAGATAATTTAAGGCCCATTTTGACAGTTAAACGATCTGAATTGTTACCGACCGGCCTTATAAGTCGGTTATAATTACTAAGGAGATCGTCATACAACCGTTTAGCATCGGGACTGCTGTTTACAAAGGAATATGGTATCGCTAAAAGTGTTAAAATAACCGTAGAAATAACAAAATTATTTGTCTTCATATCTAAAATTAGAAAAAAATGATAATTATTATTTTCAATAGTTGGTTTACATAAAATAAATATTTAGCTATAAAAATTTATTTTAAAAGACTA